CAATATTCTCTGTGTTATATGCTGCGTTCCGTGCAAACATTTTAAGATTTTCCAGCAATATTTTCAACATATTAGAAAGCCAGACAAAATTCATACAAAAGCGCTATGTCCGATTTGCCGAGCAGTCACTAAAGATGACGATTTCCCTAAATTTTTTTAGACTAAGTAAAAATATTTTGTGAATATTACTTCCTTCATATGAATTATATCACATTTTTGATGTGTATACATTTTTGGTTTCGGTAGGGGTAAAATTTGCGAGGCTGTAACGCATATCCCAGCACAAAAATTTCGAAGGGCTTAGCACGTGTATTTCAGCATACAATTTTTATTTTCATTAGGAGCACCTTGTGTTTGCTTGCTATTGTAAATGGTTGCATACATTTAGGCATATGCATAGTAAGAGGAAATGCGCTACAATTGATTATTACTTCCGATTATTTAAACTCCGCACATGCATACGGTTTTGTACCTATGTATGTACATAAATATATATGGACTCATTTGTTGCAACTGGGCATGAATCACGTAACTTAGAAACGATAGCCGTTCAAACGATGTTGTCGAAACACTGATTTATGCATTTGTGTTGCTGTTACGTGTTACTGTTACTGTTACGTGAAGCAAAACTGGAATCGAGTTGACGATATCGCACAAACGAGCAAACAATTTTTGATTTTTATGAAGCAAGACAATCTCGACAGGATATCGTTCAGACGATTGTCGTCATACGTGATTCATGCCCTGGTTTTGATATTCGTAGATGGTTTTAGGCATAGGTTTAGTAGTCTATTTTGATAAAAAAGCAAGGCGAAAATTTAAAAAAATACTGAAATCATTTTAACTGGGATAACTGATGAACAAACATGAATATATGTATGTATAATATGCATATGTAGGGATGATATAATAGCTCTGATCCAATACTTTTCGTGTAAAATCCTGGAAAAAGGTCAAACAGCAAAATCACTCTCTGAAATGAGAGTAAAAAGTGAGTAACAGCAAAATGTACGGACCAAAAAAGCATCGGGTAAAATCCTGCAACTTCAATCTCTACACAACTCTCCCAAAAATGACGCAAACGTCAAGCTGTGAAGCTGTGTTTTTCTGTGATCTGTTTAAATTTTGTGTTTTATAAAGCTGTTTACGCTTATTAAAGTAAAAAATTAAAAAGTAAAGTAAAAAATTAAAAAAAGTGTTAAACTTCTGGTGCACAATTTAAAGATAAGTAAAACAGCATGTGCCGAGTATTTTGTTTCATATAATATATTGTTGTTGTACAATTGTTTTTGTTTGTGCACATTGATTTTGCCCTTTTTGTCTTTTTGTCATTTCTGCTGTTTAAACTTTGTCACAGCTGTTTGCGTTTTGTTTATTAGGTGTCAAATATACAATGCATTTAAAACTGTTCGCTACATAGGTTTCCAACTGATATTTACCAGCTGATTGGTTCACTGATTAATACATCGTTGGTCGCGCAAATGGGCTTTTCCACTTGCTATAGATGCAAATAAAACACGAAATTTGCAATGGAAAAACTAATTAATTATTTAATTTATTTACTCTTAAAATCTTAACAGCGATAGTGGGTCGAAAATGAATTAATTTACAATGCGCGATGAAAGAACGGACTGTATCCAACGACGTACTAAAGACGATTGGTTTTCTCCAAATTAATCAGCAAATACCTAAGTCCAAATTATGTACTAGCAGTTTAGCTGTGGAATTGAAGAGCGGTAAACTGATAGGCTGTTGATTTTATGTGACGGCATGTGGGAGGAATAGTTGCGGTTGTTTGTCTACGTGACCTGTGGCTGGTTAGGTGGCGTGATGTTGAACCCTTTTTGTTGTTGTTTACGGAACCTGTTTTCGATGGAGCTATGGCGTGAGCTCGCAGCCGATGAGCAATTTGACAACGAAAAGTGAAACCAAGTAGTTCTAATGATGAGAACATATGTACATATGTATAAACATACATATGTAAATATGTGCAATGTATAGGCAGTGATGACGGCTATGTTAGCACATAATGCATGCCAATACAGTGGGCAAGCGAAGAAAAATGCGATGACAAACTTTTCTGCATTGGGGTGTTCAACATCCTCCCCTCTTGAAAACAGTGTTTTCAATCGAATAATAACGATGAATCAATGATTGTTGTAGTGGTAGCGATGAATTGTTTGTTGTTAGTGGTGAGTTGAAGATTCAATTGGTAACTTGCAAACCTTTGTTATTGCTCGTTTGACCACGCCATCAGCTGTCCTTACCATTACAACTCGTACTAAGCCATCAGATCCAGCCATGGTTTCAATGATTCGACCGAGTGCCCATTTTAGAGGTGGTGTATTTTCATCCTTGATCAGTACCATGTCATTTTCCCTTAAGTTATCTCGAAGAGTTTGCCATTTACCTCTATGCTGCAGCTCCTTTAAATATTCTGAGTGCCATCGCTTCCAAAATTGTTGCTGAATGGCTTGTATCATTTGAAACCGTTTAAGTGTACCCATATTGATGAGAGAAAGTGATGGCTCCGGAATGGTGTTTAGTGTGCGGCCGGTCAAAAAATGTGCCGGGGTGATCACTCGAAGCTCATCAGGATTGGTTGAAATCGGTGTGAGAGGACGACTGTTTATCATGGCCTCCACTTGGCAGCATACTGTATGTAGCTCATCAAAACTAAGAATGTGAGACCCCACGGTGCGACGTAAGTAATACTTGGCCTGCTTCACCGCACTTTCCCAAAGCCCGCCGAAATGTGGTGACCTTGGGGGAATAAATTTCCAATTTATTCCTTCCTTGGCCATGAATGTTTCCACTGAAGCGATGTGTTGCTGTGAAGCAAACAGTGCCAAAACTTCCTTGAGCTCTCCATTGGCCCCAACAAAATTGGTTGCATTATCCGAGAAGATTGTGTTGCACTTACCTCGTCGAGCGATAAATCGCTTGAGTGCAGAAATAAACGCCATCGTACTTACATTTGGAACCAGTTCCAAATGCACTGCCTTCGTACTAAAGCAGATAAACACTGCCAAGTTGACCTTGATAAGGCCCCTACCCCTTAATTGTGAAGTTATTGAAAATGGTCCACAGTAATCTATCCCAGTTGTTGCGAAAGGGAATGCGTCCTCAACTCGTTCTTGTGGCAATGAGCCCATTATTTGATCATGCAGCAGAGGCTTGTTGCGATAGCACATAATGCAATTATGTACAACTTGCCTTATAATGCATCCTAGCATTAACCACCCCAAATTTGTCACGCAAGATGCTTAGCAACGTTTGGCAACCAGCGTGCAAATGACGACGATGAAGGTGATCGACGATAGTGTATACGAAGGGATGTGTCCTTGGTAGCAAAATTGGATGCTTGGCATCGAAAGGTAGCGAAGAGTTGTTTATTCTTCCACCTACGCGAATCAACACGTTATGTATAAATGGCGAAAGTTGATTGAAATTGGACTGTCGACTTACTCGACCTTCCTGCAAATCCTTATATTCAGCAGCAAACGATTGTCTTTGTATGTACTGACAAACGAGCATTAAGGCGGCATCCAACTCTTCTGCGGCAATTGACCCCGAGTGCATAGTTGGTGAACGACGAAGGCGTGATATGAAGCGCTGAACATAAGCGACGATGCGAAGAAGTTTATAGTAGTTGTTGGCATATTTATGACTTGCAATTATGTCTTCTGACTGCGCTGCCAGGAGAGCGTGATGTTTTTTGCGCCGCTCTTGCAACGTTTCCATATTATTCATTGGATTTTCGGTTATGCCTGCTGCAGAAAAATTGGCCCGTGGAACCAGAGATTGTTGCCGATGAGAACACGCACCTTGGCTCCACATGATACTATGTCTGCGGGATTCTCCTCTGAGGGCACATGATGCCAAGTGTAGTTTGCTGTAAGCTGCTGGATTTTGATCACCCTATTGGCAACGAATTTTGTCCATCGTGTTGGTTCACCCTGTATCCACGACAATACAATGGTAGAGTCTGACCAACAATGTATATTGCTAGGGCCTGCAGAGAAAGCAGTTGCTACAGATTGTACCAACTCTGCTAGAAGAACAGCAGCGCAGAGTTCCAATTTAGGGAGAGTCATCTCCTTGGTTGGTGCCACCCTAGATTTAGCACATATAAGCGATGCATGCGTTGTCCCACCAGAATGTGATACTGCGTAAATGCATGCGCCGTGTGCCCGTGTGCTTGCGTCTGCAAAAGCGTGTAGTTGGGCTTCAACGTTGAAATGTACGAACCTTGGCACTCGTAATTTGTTAACCGATGTAATCTGATGACAAATGTCCGTCCATTGGGTGTGGATTGACATTGGAACACTTTCATCCCACGATAGCTTGAGCTTCCAAAGCTCTTACATCAACAGTTTGCAAGTAACTATAATTGGATTTAATAATCCGAGCGGATCGAAGAAAGTCGCAATTTTCGAAAGAATTATGGGTTTGCTTACTTTCGACGAAGGAGGATCATAAGGCGTATACGAAAACATGAAAACATCGTCTTGAGGTGACCACTTTAGTCCTAGCGCCTTGATGTATGAAAAGTCACCAATATTAACATTTACTTCCCTATCCGATTCAGGTATGTCAGCTGTGATGTTGTTATTTGACGCAAACTTCCGAAGATGGCCATTACTTCTTCGATAGTTGCAGCCCCAGTCATTAAGTTGTCAACATAAAAGTCGCGTAAAGTGACTGCAGCCCCAAGCGGGTGGGTCGAAACATTGTCGTATGCTAACTGCTGAAGGCATCTTACTGCCAAAAAAGGGGCACAACTGGTTCCGTAAGTGACAGTCCGCAACTGGTAAGGGCCGAGTTGCTCATCAAGTGAGTTTCTCCACAAAATGCATTGATATTTCGCATCTCTATCATCGACAATAATTTGCCGATACATTTTGGTTATGTCGGGCATTAATACAAAACGATGTGTGCGGAAGCGAAGAAGAATAGTGAATATGTCATCTTGCAATGTAGGCCCACTTCGAAGAATGTCATTCAGCGAAACCCCATTTGACGTGCGACACACAATGATGAGGGATATACGTACCAGCCTTCGATGATAATTCACATGGTTGTACTAAGGCCATGTGATTCAATTCAATATATTCTTCCATAAAGCTTTTATATTCGTTTTTTATCGCTTGGTCTGTGAGTAATCTCTTCTCCAATGACCAAAATCTACGACGAGTAATTTCGTATGAATGACCAAGCTTACCTGGACTTGTCGAGAAGGGTAAGCGAACAATAAATTTATTTGTTACAGGGCAATGCGATGTTGTTTTTTGGAAATAAGTCTCACACTCGGCCTCTTCCAACCTACGCTCAACCTTTCGAGAGTGGTAGCTATCTTCTATTTTCCAGAATTTCTCTAAAAGAGTATCTAACGATGGCTGCGCTGTTGTGGTAAGTATGCTGGAAGGGATGAGGGGTGGCGATGAACTAAGCAGAGTCGACGATGATACCAAGGGTCGTGAATGAATAGTGCCAGCTATGATCCAGCCCAGCTGCGTTTTTTGTACTGATGGAAGATGTTTGTCTAACTTAATCTGACCCACCGAGAGTATATCGAAGAAAAGCCCAGCCCCGATAAGCAGATCAGTTGGTCCAGGGCAGTTAAACGTGCGATCAGCTAGACTAATGTTTTTTGGTATTCCCCAATTTGTTACATCGATAAATTTATGGGGTTGATGCGAGGAAATCGATGGTAATATGACTATCTCTAACATCGAAGAAAATCCATTGTGCAATGATTGGAGACCAACAAAACCACCTTGGTATGATTTAGTGGTTAAGGCCCCAATACCGCTTATTTCGGTACTGATTTTGCTGCGTGCTAATTGGAGCATTTGAGCTACACGCTCCGTTACGAAATTCAGCTGGGATGCTGAATCAAGCAGTGCACGTACGGTTAGTTTTATACCACGATTAGTATACAGTTGAACCAGGGCAGTCGCAAGGATGACGTCACCGCTGGCTATTCAGCCTTTAACGCAGTTGATGATGAAGGCTGTGTGATCTCCAAACTCTGAGGCTGGTGTCGATGCAGAAGCGTGTGGTGGCTCACCATGCAATGTTGGCAACGATGTGTGGATGGACACTTGCTAGAGGTGTGGCCCGTTCCAAGACAATTTAGGCACAGATGATTTTTTTTTGCAATATTGTAGCGCTGAATTGCGTCCATGGCGTTAAATTTTTCACATTTAAATGGTGAATGTAGGACAGCTTCGTTGAATAATGAACATTTCTTGGTTACTGATGACACCAGTGTTGTATTAGACTTCAATGGTAGGGGTGCCTTGGTAGCTGATGCCACTTTAGCTGTAGCCTTTCTGCTGACTTCAATGATATTCACTGTCTGGCAGCGGCGCTCAATAAAGGTAGCTAGATCATCCCATGTTGGTAACTGAAGCGAAGATGACGAATTATCCCACTTAGTAGCGACATATTCTTTTATTCCCATTTTACTTGCATTTCGGGATCCAATTTAGCGACAACAAAATTCAGCAAAATTCCGTCAGCAACGAAGATGGGAATTTATGGAATCGATGAATTCTCTTAGCGAAAAAGCACTTGAAGCTCTAAAGGACTTGTTGTCGAAGATTGCCTGCAGGTGTGACTGAAAAATGTATCTTTTGTTGTCATATCTGTTATTGAGCAAGTCAATGGCGCGATTATAATTGTTACTGGTAACCTCTAAAGATTGAATGAGCCGAAAGGCGCTGTGAGTCAGACATGAGCGCAGGTACTGAAATTTCTCGACGTCATTCAGACCAGCATTATTGTGGACGAGGGCGGTGAACATATTATAGAAGTCTAGCCATTCGGTATGGTGGCCACTGAATTTCGTCAGTTGCAGTTTTGGCAGACTATGACGAGGCGACGATGGTGATTGAATAACAGGCATCGTGGTGCTGCTCAGTGCCTCAACCTTGTGCATTTCAGCCATACGCTCGACAATAGCACTCTTGACATCGCAGAAAGAATCTTCAAAATCGGAGCGATGCTCCAGGTCGATTTGAGATTCATCTAAGGACTCCAATTCCGACTGCAGTTTCTCGAAGACTTTGAAATGGTGTTCAATGATCGCCAGTTTTGTCTCGAGCTGATATGCTGACATGTTCGAAAATTGCTGTAGGTTTGCACGTAGATCTGCTACTCGGCCGATTAACTTGTCCCGTTGTAGCATTTTAATGCGAATGTTGCTGTCTGTTCTTGGGGGGGTTACTGCACCTGACTCCTCAGTCATGTTAATTGATGGCAAATTCTTATACCACGACGACAATTTGATTTGATGCCTTTAATTATGCGACACGAAAATTAACGCGTGAATTTTTGGGTTATCAGACGCGGAGCCAAAATCCGGCTCGAAGGACCTTGGTCGAGCAAATGGGCTTTTCCACTTGCTATAGATGCAAATAAAACACGAAATTTGCAATGGAAAAACTAATTAATTATTTAATTTATTTACTCTTAAAATCTTAACAGCGATAGTGAGTCGAAAATGAATTAATTTACAATGCGCGATGAAAGAACGGACTGTATCCAACGACGTACTAAAGACGATTGGTTTTCTCCAAATTAATCAGCAAATACCTAAGTCAAAATTATGTACTAGCAGTTTAGCTGTGCAATTGAAGAGCGGTAAACTGATAGGCTGTTGATTTTATGTGACGGCATGTGGGAGGAATAGTTGCGGTTGTTTGCCTACGTGACCTGTGGCTGGTTAGGTGGCGTGATGTTGAACCCTTTTTGTTGTTGTTTACGGAACCTGTTTTCGATGGAGCTGTGGCGTGAGCTCGCAGCCGATGAGCAATTTGACAACGAAAAGTGAAACCAAGTAGTTCTAATGACTAGAACATATGTACATATGTATAAACATACATATGTAAATATGTGCAATGTATAGGCAGTGATGACGGCTATGTTAGTACATAATGCATGCCAATACAGTGGGCAAGCGAAGAAAAATGCGATGACAAACTTTTCTGCATTGGGGTGTTCCAACAATCGTTTTCAAAACTGTTTTTGCTTTTTTGCTTCTAAAACCTAAAAATAAATATAATTTTAAACATGTCGTGTATTTACACCAATTGCCACGTTAAAAGCGACTCCTATGTGTCATGCTGGCTCTCTCCATATAAAATGTGCTGGTTTGAGCGGTAGAGTATTAGACTTTATTAACGAGGGTAAGGGTCTTCGTTGGTCTTGTCAAAAATGTAGATCAACCGAAGTTGATTTATTTAAATTCTTTAGGCAGTCCAGAAATGGGTTTTCTGAAATCAGGAAGGATCTGTCGGTGCTTGTTGAGAAATTTAAGCATTACGAAAAAATGTTTAGGTCTTTCACTTGTCTCCACAACCCTCCACACTCTGAGGATAGCCGAGAAAATAAAGGCGGGCGTGTTATTAGTCCACCTAAAAAGACAGCCACGGATTCTAGTAAAAAAAATCCTCCATCCCAGTCCTTGGAACTTATTAATCTATCTTCTCCATGCCCTCAGGCATTGGAGCTTCCGATATCTAAAGCCATATCCACTAGGTCTACTTCTAAAAATAGTCAAACCGTTGATGTAACAGTGTTGCCATCAACATCTCAAGCTCCACTGTCTAACTTAGTTCCTCCGAATAATTCGGAGCCCCACACATCAGACATCATTACCAAAAAGTTGGTTGTAATTCCTCCGAGAAGACCAATCTTTGTCTCTAGATTTGCTAAAGATACTTTTTCGGATGATACAAAGTCATACATATCGACTAAAATTATAACTAAAGATGTATTTATTCGTAAATTTTATTTTAAATACGATCGCGATATTTCATCTTTTAAAATTTATGTAGCTTCCGAAGATTTTGATTCACTACTAAATAGTTCATTTTGGCCGACAGGGGCGTTTTTCGCGAGTTTGAGTATAAACCTAATACAAGTAATAATAACGTAGCTAAAATTTCGAATCTTAATTCGGATCCAAAAAACTAACTCGCAAGTCTAATTTAAGTATTTACTTTCAAAACGTTAGAGGTTTGAATACCAAATTAACTGACTTATATTTAAAACGTTTTGACTGCAATTATAATAGTATTTCCTTCACCGAAACATGGCTCAAACCTCACATTTTTAATTCCGAAATTCTTCCAAATGAATATCAAATATACAGGAGTGACCGCGTGGGCAGAATCGGCGGTGGTTTTCTTTTTGCGGTGCATTCATCGATACCATCCGAGGAAGTTAGTCTTCCTGTCATTGAATATACCGAATTTAAATGCATACTTGTACAGGCTGGAAAGACTTATATTTATTTAGCTCTTTGCTACATCCCTCCTAAGTCTACCGTATCAGTATATATGCAGCTAGTTTCTTTACTTGAGGCCGTAAATGCAATGCTTACGGCATCCGATACTATGATTGTTTTGGGCCATTTAAATCTGCCACACATTTCATGGAACATCATTGACACCGATGTTGTACCAGTTTCATCTAGAGATAGTTACAATGTATTTCTGGAGGAAATGGCTGAACTTTGCCTCAAACAAATAAATATATGTCCAAATAAGTTTAGAAAGGTCTTGGATCTCGTTTACGTTGATGATGTTCCGAAGGCCTCTATTAATCGGTGTGATCCCCTAGTTTTGCCGGAAGATGCATACCATCCTGCTCTTGAGTTAAGCTACGAAATCATAAATGAAATACATAATAATAAGTCAAGTTCAAGTACTAGATATGTTTTTGCGAAAGCAAATTTCAGGAAAATTAACAAAGAACTTTCAAAGTTATCTTGGCCAATATATAGAGATGAAGTGGAGCGTAGCGTTGAGCACTTTAATGATACTGTTTTTAATTTGTTTCGAAAGTATGTGCCAAAACGTATATTGTTCATGATGAACCAATACAATTATGGTTCACTAAAGAGCTTAAAAAATTGAAAAATAAAAAGTCGCACTCTTTTAAACTGTATAAAAGAATGGGCTTACACAGTGATTACCTAAGGTACTCAGTTTTGCGGCATAGCTACTTTGCATTAAATAAGAAATGTTATAATTCATATTTATGTAAAATTAAGAAGAATTTAGTTAACAATCCTAAATCATTTTATGGTTTCGTAAATTAAAAGCGTAAGGCACATGGTTTTCCGTCCGCTATGCATTATCGCAACACTTTATCTAGCGACAGCCAACTCATTGCCAACATGTTTGCTCGGTTCTTTAGGTCCAATTATTCTGTAGACTTCCCTATAAGTGGAGACTATCCGTACGAGCTTTGTCCAATAAACTCTGCTTATATTCCAGTAATATCTTCCGATGAAGTGTTACATTATTTAAAAACCTTAAAAGCGTCAGTTAGGCCTGGACCTGATCATATTCCGTTTTCCTGTTTTCTTAAAAACTGCGCTGAGAACATCTGCGAGCCTTTAACAACTCTATTCAATTTGTCACTTAAACATGGCGTTTTTCCGTCAGCCTTGAAGGAGTCTTTCATAATACCACTTCACAAAAACGGCAGCAGGTCCTCTATAGAAAACTATCGAGGCATAGCGAAACTCTCCGCTATCCCCAAATTATTCGAAGCAATTATTGTTAACCAGCTGACATATTCTATATCTTCTTCAATTACACAATCTCAACACGGGTTTTCTAAAGGAAAATCTACTATGACTAATTTATTGGAGTTTACAACTCATGTCTCAAACGGTTTTAGAGAAAATGCTCATACCGACGTAATATACACTGATTTCAGTAAAGCTTTTGACAAAGTCACTCATTACTCATCCGTAAACTCGACCTAATCGGCTTTCAGCCCAGTCTTCTTCAATGGATCTCATCTTACCTCTCTGATAGAACACAAAGAGTTA